GTTTATATAAGCCAGAAATTTAACATATTGCTATTTTTGGCTTATTGAAGTCCAAGAAAATAGAGGCAAAAAGTACTAATACTACCAGGAAGTAGTTTTTTTATTCCTAGAGGGTTTTTTGATTTTATACAGTGACAGAAAAAGACATTTAGAAATTCCCACTTAATAGATCTGACCTGAATGCTTAGAAGTCCTGCTGTGAATCCATTTCTCCTGCCAGGACAACATATTTAATAAACAACTGCAGTGCATGGAGCTGTTCTGGGTGAGGATAAATCTGAAGGAATTTAAAGAGCATCCATGGATAAATTATCTCCTTTTTTTTGGCACAGATTTGAAGTTGAATAATTTAATAGAGGTGTTATTCAGCCTTTCTCCGTTGCTGTGCCTTACCCAGCAGTTTCTAACTGAAAAATTGGTTTTTATGTATTAGGAGCTTTAAAGTCAGAGATAACTTTACTCTTCTGTCAATAATTTGCTTTCAGCTGAATGTTTTCAACTGCACCTGATTTGATTTGCTTTTCTGTATCATAAAAACAGAGACCACCCATATAAAAATGACTGAGCAGTTTAAAAGAAAAAAAGAAAAATTGAGCACTTCCAGTATTAGATTAACAACTGAGCTATTCTGTAAAGACTGGCAAATGTTTAAAAATGCATTTACAGAACTGTAACAAAACCATGAAGACTATTTACTGTAATGCCTGAAGTGCCTGTGCTTCTGCTCTGTATCTATATCCTAAATATAATGTCCTAAAATATCCTTTGGATATTTTAATGGTTTCAAGATCTGCACTGTTCATTGAGAGAATGACTGGATTATAGTTTTGTAATATAGAATATGAATTCTATATATTCATTGTATATGGTCGATATATTCTATAGTCTATATATAATATCTGTTCTATAACATGTTCTATATCAAATATATAATATATACTATGAAATATAAAAAATGATAGTAATAATAAACCAGACTATTGCCACATATAATTTTTGGTCTCTTTTACAATTGCTTGCCTAATGATTTGTGGGGATGAGCACAACACAGGTGAAGTTTTGTTCTTGACCCATACATCTGCAAAACCCTTCTTGTCCTTTTCTCTTTGTCCAAATTTGGTGGTATGTCCTTTTGTCATTTAAGAGGAAACAGTTTATTTACATTTGAAGCAAGATATTTGGGTTATATCTATAAAGTCCTGTTATTTTTCCTTGTAGGTTTGGCTGCCCCTTGCTGCAGGCAGGATGGTGACAGTGGGACACAGCAGAAGGCTGATCCATCACTGGAAGGAGCAAGGGATGAATTAGGGATCCTCGTGTGCCAGGACATGGTGGCATGAGTGACACTGTGATGGACAATGCTGTCACCTCTGTCTCTCCATGGATCCAGGGATCATGATATTCCAGAGATGAACACAAACACTTTCTGATTAATTTTCCTACTTATTTTCCCATTAATTTTCCCATGAATTTTTTTTAAATTGGGAAACACTGTGCCATGACAGAACTTGGCATCCCTGACCCTTGGCTGGCATCATCACTGTGTCTCAGCTAAGAAGCTGCAGGAATTGGGATATCAGGGAATTGGGATAATTTTCTCAGCATTTTTCCATTAGTGTTTCTGTTTTGTGCTTATTTATGCTCTGGGAAAAAAGGTCTACGAAATGAGTCTCTATTTTTGTCTATCAACTCTCACAATTGTGAAACCTGCTGCTAAAATCTCTCCCAGTTTTACTGTCTAAAGCACTCTATTGATGATTATAGAAATTAGTATTATTTTTTCATCATTTCTACTGGAAAATTGCCCAAATCTGTGTTTCAACAGGCCAGACAACATCTTTGTCACTGTCCTCTCCTATTTTCACTGCACACAGGTGATGGAGAATCTGGATGGGTTTTGGGTTGTTATTTTTGGGGTGTTTTTGTTGTTGTTGTTGTTGTTGTTTTTGTTTTGTTTTATTTTGTTTTCTCCTAAATACAAAGGAAAAGTGAAAACTAATTGGGGAATTCAGACATTAAGCAATTTTTTTGCTGTGGGCGAGCAGAAAGCCAAGGAATAAATCTCTCTCCTTTGTGCTTGTGTTGTTGGAGTTGGGATAAGTGACTGAAGTCTGTCCTGGGCAGGGGTTTCAGACACTGTGAGGATGTCCTGAGTGTGAAGAAGGAGCAGGAGTGACTGGGCAGGGTTATCCCGAGGCTGCTCACCTTCCTGAGGCAGAGGAGGGCTGGGCTGTGCAGTCTGGATTTGCTGCCTGGCCATGGGAGAGCTGAGCAAGGTGTGGGCAGGGAGGTCAGGACACCTCAAGAGTGAGAAAGGGAGCTGGGATTTCAAAAGCAGCTGCAGGCAGAGGGAAAGCCCCTGATTTTTTTAAAAATAAACCTTTGCTCATGGGAAGTTTCAAAGGGGTTTTCTTACACCTGTCATGAAAAATGTACATGCCTTTCTGAGGCAAACCTGTGCTAGCTACTTGCAGGGTAGGAAAATGATGGTTTTAGTTAATCTGAGCTCTGCCAGAGGATAAATTGTGATGTGTGGGGGACAGAGACGCTCAGAGTCCCCTCCCTGCTGCACCTGGGGTGGGGTCTGGTGCTGGTGTCCCCACAGCTGGGTGGCCTGAGCTTGGGTGAGTGTCACAGCCTGGGAAAGCTGGCTCAGCACGATCCACTGCCAGCTTTATTTATCCACTGCATCATTTAGGGGAAGCACCAACAGCTGGGCCTGAGACCAAGCTCTACAGAAAATTCAGTATTAGAGAGGAAAGCAGCAGCACCTGTGGCTGGGAGGGAAGGGAGGGGACAGCCACAGTGATGCTGCTGTGCCACTGAGGTGCTTTCACCCACAAGCTCATCCCAAGACTGTGTTAGCTCCAGCCCTGGGGACTCTGTGCCACCTTCCCCTTGCCCTCCCAGCAGCTGACACGGGGCTGGTGCCCGTGTGTGAGCAGATGTGGGGCTGGGGGTGCATTTAAGAGTGAGTGCTCGCTGCCTGTGCCCAGCAGGATGCCAAACTTGCAGCTCTGCCTTGGCACCCTGGGCAGCAGCTGAGCCTTGCTGCCATCCCTGGGGAGGCCTTTCCTACATCTGGCATCCCTCAGGGCTCAGCACCCGTGGGCATCGCTCGGGGCTCAGCATGCAGGGGTGTCACACAGGGGTGTCACACAGGGCACAGGGGTGTCACACAAGGGTGTCACACAGGGGTGTCACACAGGGCTCAGGGCACAGGGGTGTCACACAGGGGTGTCACACAGGGGTGTCACACAGGGCTCAGGGCACAGGAGTGTCACACAGGGGTGTCACACAGGGGTGTCACACAGGGCACAGGGGTGTCACACAGGGGTGTCACACAGGGTTCAGAGCACAGGGGTGTCACACAGGGCTCAGGGCACAGGAGTGTCACACAGGGGTGTCACACAGGGCTCAGGGCACGGGGTGTCACACAGGGGTGTCACACACGGCTCAGGGCACAGGGGTGTCACACAGGGGTGTCACACAGGGCTCAGGGCACAGGGGTGTCACACAGGGGTGTCACACAGGGGTGTCACACAGGGCTCAGGGCACGGGGTGTCACACAGGGGTGTCACACAGGGGTGTCACACAGGGCTCAGGGCACGGGGTGTCACACAGGGCTCAGGGCACAGGGATGTCACACAGGGGTGTCACACAGGGCTCAGGGCACAGGGGTGTCACACAGGGGTGTCACACAGGGGTGTCACACACGGCTCAGGGCACAGGGGTGTCACAGGGGCTCAGCACCCCCAGGCATCCCTCAGGGCAGCTCCCACTGCCATGCTGGGCTCAGGGCCAGCCCTGGGGGCCTCTGTTTGCTCTCAGAGGTGGTGCTGACCTTCAGGCTGTGCCAAGTGTTTGGCCTTGTGTGCATGGCTTTGTCTGGTTTTCCTCTCCCACCCCTGGCTGTTTGCAGTCTCCCATGGGAGAAAGCACCCTCCCAGATCTGCTCATCCTGGAGATTTTGCAATGATTTAACTCTTTCCTGGCTGGAGGCCACGGTTCCTTGCTTGCCACATAACTGTGTGGACCAAAATACACCAGCCTGCAGAACAGAATAACTGAGTGATATTTTCACTTTTGGTATTGAATAAACCTGCACAGAATCTTTAAGGTTGCCTCTGCCCCATCCCTGCTGGTTGCCCTAAAGTGTTCATTACTAGATTTTTATCAATCAGTATTAACAGGAGCTAAAAAAGCATCTTTGTGCTGTCCTACAAATGGACACAGAGGAGAGCCAAGGAGCTTTGTCACAGCTTTCCAGCCCATCTGAGTCCCTTTGGTACCGTGGATATTTTCACCCCTGACGAGGGGAGAGAATGATGCATCTGATTCCATCTTATCATAAGGTTCATTAATTATTTTATTAAACTGTCTTTTTCTCTATTATATTACACTATGTTACATTACATCTAAACTGAATCTGCCAAGCACTCAACTGCCCAGAATCTCGTGACTGTCAGCCCACAGTCTTGACACAAACACACACACCTGGCCCTGACAGGCCAAGCAAACAAAACTCCATCACTCTGGGTAGACAATCCCCATTTTGCATTCTACCTTTGCACAAACACAGGCACAGCAAATAAGATAAGAATTGTGTTTTCTTTCTCTGAGGTTCAGAGAACGTGAAACCCAGAAATATTCTTGGGAAGAACCGTGCCTTGCTTTTCTCTGTGAAGAGAAATGTGGCGACACTGGTGCCAGCCCCTTTCCCCTGTGCAGAGCCAGCCGTGGCATTTGCCCTGCTCAGTGTCCTTTGGGAGGTGCTCAGGATGCTGCAGAATCCAGCCTGGTCCTTTTGCCAGGGTTGTGTCCAGGAGAATGTTGAAGTCATGCAGGAAAGAAATGTTTGTTTTGTGGTACGAGCCCACGTCTGTCCCCTGCCAGGTCCTTCCTGGCCATGCTCAGGCTCCTGCAGGGGAGGGTCCGTGGCTTCTTCTTGCCTGTCTGATGCAGGGAGGGCAGTGGGATTTACTGGGAATTACTGGGAATTACTGCCTGTGGATGCGAAGCCGCAGCCTCCGCCGCAGACCTGGGAAGAGACAAGAGACAGTGTCCATCAGTGCTGGCCCCTCTCCCAGCTGTCCATGCCCTGCTGGGCTGTGCCAGGGCTGGCCCCTCAGGGTGGGGGCAGCAAACTCACGGTGCAGGCGGTAGGCGGTGGGCACCAGGCTCAGCAGCAGCAGCAGGACAGCAGCAGCCAGAGGGATCCAGACCAGGGGACTGCAGGGACCTGGGGACAGGAGAGCACTCAGCACCTGGCACCGCCCTGCCCCAGCAGCCTTGGGGCTGGGGAAGGGAGGAAAGCAAGGCCCTCAGAGGGGTGGTGAGGATGTGACCATCACCCTGGGGTGACCTTTGAAGGATGCACCATAGAACCACAGAGTGGGTAAAGCTGGAAGAGAGCACAGTGGGCCACCTGGGCCAACCTCCCTGCTCAAGCAGGGTCATCCCAGAGCACAGGGCACAGGACTGTGTCCAGGTGGCTTTTGCATATTTTTGATAAGGGATGTGATGGTGTTCTCAGGGGTTCTTGGATTGGGGAAGAGATGAGGATCTGACTCCATGTTTCAGAAGGCTTGATTTATTATTTTATGATATATATTACATTAAAACTATACTAAAAGAATAGAAGAAAGGATTTCATCAGAAGGCTAGCTAAGAATAGAATAGCAAAGAATGATAACAAAGGTTTGTGGCTTGGAGTCTGTGTCCGAGCCAGCTGGGCTGTGATTGGCCATTAATTACAAACATCTTACATGGATTAATCACAGATCTACTTGTTGCATTCCACAGCAGCAGATAATCAATGCTTACATTTTGTTCCTGAGGCCTGTCAGCTTCTCAGGAGGAAAAGTCCTAAGGAAAGGATTTTTCATGAAAGTTGTCTGTGACAAGGGAGACTCCACAACCTCTCTGGGACACCTGTTCTGGTGCTCAGTCCCTCTCACAGTGAAAAAGGCACTGCAGGGAACTTGACTGTGAGGTCATGAGACCCTAACCTGAAATCCATCCTGCCCCTAAACCTGTGGATGTGCCAGGGAATCCGTCCTAGAGGCAGAAGTCTGTCCAGAGCAGTGTGTCCATGTGTACCCAGACAGCCACTCCTGCAGGGTGACCCTGTGGTGGCCCCACTCCAGGACAAACCCCAGCTGAGCCCTCTTGGAGCTCACAGAAGTTACCCAAGAGCTCAGCAAAGCCCTTTTGCCAGGAGCTGGCACAGTGCCATACCTTCCCTGCTGGCAGCTTTCCTTTTGGTTGTGCGTGGCAGAGGCTTTTTGGACACTGGTGTCTGCGTGGTCTTTGGAGGCAAAACATCAACTGGGGAAAGGAGAAAAGGAGGGTGGTGAGTGTGGCAGAGACATCTCCAACAGCAGCCAAGAGAACCAGCCTTGAACCAGCCCCCAGCAGTGACCCCTCACTCAGAGGGGTGAGCTTCACCTCACCTGAGCCTCTTGGGGCTCACAGACGTCACCAAGAGCTTTCAAAAGTGTTAATCAAATAATGTACCAGGTAAAGAAGGCTCGTGCAGGGAAAACCCCCAAATTTTCTTCAGTGACATTTGCTGCCAAGCATCATCTCACCAGAATTGCACAAAACCATCGGTAAAACCATTTCAGCAGCACTGAAATGTTTGAAGGGATGCATGGATTTTTTTCCTTATTCACATTGCTCTAGTCTTTGCTCAACACTTGATTTATTTTTCCCTGATAAAATGAGGGTAGGATTTATTATAGTGTATCTAAATTCAAATGGAACATATTTGTTTCTGAATAAAGTTGGCCAGGAAAATATGCCAGTAATGTCATTAAATAGCTGCATGTCTGACTGCTCAAACCATATTTATTCAAAATTTTAGGTGATTGAAAACTATTTTTTAATTCAAAATTTTATTCAAAATTTTAGGTGACTGAAAACTATTTTTTTTCCTGTTTCTACCCAGGATGTAAATTCTTACAGAAACTACCATTCTTTTACATGAGAAGATGAGACATCAGGGCTCTGGGATTTATCTGGACAACTTCTCCCTTAAATGATAATAAACTTAGGGAAAAGAAACTTAAAGACAATTTGTTTTATCATGAGAACTAAAAGAAAATATCCAGCAAAGCCCGAGTCTTCCCAGAGCACCTGCTGCTGTTTACTTTTTAATTGGTGTCCTTGATCAAGCTGCATTTCAATCCTGTTTTTCATGCTTTGCACAGAGATATGTGCCCAGCTGCTAAAAAACAATTCTCCTTTATCTTAAACCAGCTTTTCTCTGAGCCTGCAAGAATCCAAAAGGGATTTCTTATCCAGTTCAAGGTACAGAGTGCATTTGCAAAAAAAGCCCAGAAAAACTGGGACACTGGGTCCCCTTTAGAGCCAGAAGTGGCATTTTGGTTAAATACGTTATTTGTATCTTAGTTAAATAAGTTATTTGTCTCCCTAAAAGTCTGCAAAAATAGAGGCTGAGTCCCACTTCAAATGCATTCTTTTTTCTGCATCAACTACTGCTCTGTGGTCAAAGGGAAAATGGGCTGAAAAGAGCTTCTGTATGCCCCAGATGTCTGTAAAGCCTCTCTCCTCCCACGACACCTGCAGAAAAATGTTATTCCTGTTTGGATCTCCCCAGGAATAGTTGGCTGTGAGCTTTGAGGAATAAATCCCATTTCAGTATTTTTTTTGGAGGATGGTCTTAAAAGTTCCATCAGATCCACCCCAGAGGTTTCAGGGGTGATGCTTTCTGTCCTTAATGCTGCTCTTGTCACTTGGAGTGAGAGTGAGGGAGAATTATGGGATGGAAGGACCTGTGAGCTGAGCAGGGCACACATCCAGCTTGGGGAATAAATCCCATTCAGTTTTTTGGGTTTTTTTTTTGAGGGGGTGGTCTTGAAAGTTGCCATCAGATCCACCCCAGAGATTTCAGGGGTGATGCTTTCTGTCCTTGGTGCTGCTCTTGTCACTTGGAGTGAGGATGAGGGAGAATTATGGGATGGAAGGACCTGTGAGCTGAGCAGGGCACACATCCAGCATGAGGAATAATCCCATTTCAGTACTTTTTTTTAGAGGATGGTCTTGAAAGCTGCCATCAGATCCACCCCACAGAGATTTCAGGGGTGATGCTTTCTGGCCTCAGTGCTGCTCTTGTCACTTGGAGTGAGAGTAAGGAAGAATTATGTCATGGAAGGACCTGTGAGCTGAGCAGGGCACACATCCAGCCTCCCATCCAGAGTACAGCAGGGAATGAGAAAAACACAGGGCATGGCAATACCAGGACTTCCCAAGGAAATCCTCGAGCACTGGGAGCAATGCTGTGCTCAAGGCATGCCCACAGCAGAGCAACTGCTGATGGCAAAAGGACTATCACACAAAGCTGACCCAAATTTTAGCCATTTTCTGTATTTTCTGCAACTGCTGATGGCAAAAAGGACTATCACACAAAGCTGACCCAAATTTTAGCCATTTTCTGTATTTTCTGCATTTTCTGCAACTGCTGATGGCAAAAAGGACTATCACACAAAGCTGACCCAAATTTTAGCCATTTTCTGTATTTTCTGCTTTATCCGATCTCAGAGACAAAACCCACAGCCCCAGCCTTGCAACTCAAAAATTGGGAAGAATTTCCCAGGTTCATCACAGCTATTGGTGGCACATTTTGGAAGCCCGAGGGTGCTGCTTACCCACAGTGAGCTGTGTGCCAGTGCCCAGGAGCAGCTGGGAGGACTGGGACACGGAGCAGTAGTAGATGCCGCTGTCTGAGGGCTGCAGGTGGCTGATGTGCAGGCTGTAGGAGCTCTGGGACCTCGCCTCATGGACACTGAACTTGTCCTGCCTCACCTCTGGGCCATAGGTGGCTCTGCCCATTGCGTTGGAGAACAACAAGAACTGGAATTGTTGCCTCTCCTGGCTCCAGCGGTACCAGTAGACCCCGGCGTGCTCCTTCTTCAGGTCACAGAGGATTTCAGTTTTATTGCTGGTTTGGGTTAGAATATGCCCTGGAGTTTGGGCTAATAGCAGAGTTGTATAAAAACCTAAGGAAAAAGAGAAACATACAGTTATTATTTTAATTTCATTGTTTTTCTTTTGTGCAAAGTACAGATTTTCTTTATGGGTTCAATAAAATCACAGTAGACACACAGACCAGAGGGGTCACACGAGAGAGAAACAGGAGCATTTTTTATCAGGATGCTCCCATATTCCCTCAGACGCCTTTTTGGGTTCCCCAGGTATTGTTTTGGCCAGGCCAAATTATACAGGCAGATTTTCTCTGAAATCACTCATCTAAGAAGGAGGCAGACTGACAGGGAGAGGGATGGAGGGATGGTTTTGAGGGTCTCCTGGGGGCTGTATGTGCAGGGAAGAGCGTCCCTGCCTGCCCCTGTGAATGCTCCTCTCCTGCCCTCCTTACCTTTCTCATTTTTCAGACATTTTACCCCTTTTTCAACAAATTTTAGTGCCTCTTAACAGATTTGCCATATTTTTCTTCTTACAGATACAACACCAATAAACATTTAAGGGGCAGAAAAAGAGACCAAAAACATGCAAAACATGTCAAAATGAGCCAATTTGATATTAGTCTTCAGACAATAATATTTTTCAAAGGAATTTTGAGACATGGGGAAGGAGAGGGAGTGAGGGGCAGCGGTGGGGTTCAAAGCTTTGGTTTGGCATCACATCTCCCTGTTTGGGCTTTGCAGCTTTGTGGAAATTATCAGAGTCTTGTTTGGCCCAGGCAGATGTGAGGGGTGTCCTTGTGGAAAGGATAACAGGTAACTTGTGATCCTTGCTGTTCAGCAAACAGTCCTGCAAAGCTGCAGATACCCTGAGCCCGAGTGAAAAACAGCCCTCTGCAGATAAGGGCACTCCTGCTGCCCCCATCTCTTTCCCAGGCGTGTTTTAAAGTTGTGCAAAAAGCTCAATAATGTGTTTCTTGTCTTTTTTTTTAACTTTAAAATGTTCCTTTTTCTTCAAAATCTGAAGTTGCTTACAGCAGTTTTTTCAGCCTCATGCAGGCCCTGTGGTGTGGGGATGGATGGGCACCACCCAAGAACATCTAAAGGCATTAATGTGGCACAAAGTCCTGATGTCTGCCATGTTCCCAATGGGACAGGCAGAGGAGAGGGCTCTGGTGGCTGACAGGGGTCCAGAGCCTTCCTCTATCCCCCCACCAATGACCCCAGTGCTGCAGAACACTAACATTGTAATGCCAAAATTCCAGTGTTGCACAGCAGCTGCAGCATTTCACCACATCCTCTGGCTCTGTGACAGCATTAATGTCTCTTTTTATTAAAATATATAAATTTAAGGCTTTAGAGAGGTTTAAGTTCTCTCAGATTAAGAAAGAATTAAATTTAAGGTTTAAATTCTCTCAGATTTTGTCCTGGCAAACACCTGTGTGGTTTTTCAGGGGATGAAATGTGCGTGGCCATGGCACATGGGGGCTTCAGGGTCTCCTTGAGTGCCCTGAGGTCTGGCTCTGCTGGGCATGGGAAACAAAACTCTCCAAGAAAAACTTATCTTTGACCTGTTGGAGACATTGTTATATAAGTCAGAAAAGATAAGAAGAGATTCTGGAAGATCTCAGCTCAGCGCCAGTGGTCAGCCAGGAGTGAGCTGGGATGGAGACAGAGAAGAAAACTCATCCTCAGTCATACCTTCAACCCCAAAACCTCTCTGTTCCCTTTCCTGGTGAATATTCAAGGGGACCATGGGGAATCATGGTGCTTGGCCAGACCAGCCTGCAGCAACTTAAAAATTACCCCTTTTCCTATTGCATGGGCAAAGCAAACTCCCATTTATTGAGGTTTTCTCAGTGGGTTCCCCACCTTACAGATTGATAGGATATCAGAACCTGTAAGGTAGAATGGTTTTATAACACACCAATTCCAGCTGTGGCCCTTGGAAATACTCAGTCTTTGGATGATTTAGAAAATTTGGGATGTTTGTCACCTTTGTGTTACACTGGCAGTGGAGATTTTAACTTCTCCATTAGCAGCTTCATCTGCACTGAGGAGTAAAAATGCTGTGGTGTCTATACCACTATGGACAGAATATAGAGTAGAGTAGAATGGAATGGAATGGAATGAAATGGAATGGAATGGAATAGAATAGAATAGAATAGAATAGAATAGAATAGAACTACTTCAGTTGGAAGGGAACCACAGCAACCAACTGGTCCCACTTTCTGACCAGTTCAGGGCTGACCAAAGCCTAAAGCATGTCATTAATAGCATGATCCAAAGTGATTTGAAATAGGCAATAATACCCTGTAGATCTCTACTGTGATGGTATATTTAATCTGCCATCATCCAGCTGCTGGAGTGTGGTGGGGGAGAGGCTCCAGCAGGATTTTAGGTGCCCTCAACCCCTAGGAGATGTGTTGCTCTTACCTGGGATCTGGAGGCAGATGCAGAGATGGAGCCACGGCCGGGCCATGGTGGCGGACTCGGTGACAGAGGGGTTTTGTGCCAGCTCCCCCTTTCCCTTCGCTGTCACCTCTTGGTGGCAGGGCTGGCTTCCCCTCAGGAAGTCCTTGCCCCTCTCTGTGCAGATCTCTCAGCAGCAGCTGCCAAAGAGCAGCACCTGGAGCCTCAGCCTGGCAGCTTCTTCTGTGCCAAGCCCCAAACCCAAGAGTCCGTCAGGGCAGCACCTTTTGCTCTTCTCCAGCACTTCTCAGGGTACCTTAAATCCTCTTCAAAAAATGAAACCAAGAAAACTCACTGGTTTTTAATTTCTTCAGATTTCTTCATATTTCACCACTTAGTTATTCCTCCTTCTTTTAATCTACTTCTATCAAAAATTTACAAATGTAGGACCATGGCCTTAAAGATAAAAGAAGGAAAGCGTGAATTTTGGCTGGTTTTCCCCCTGTTGAAATAAAAAAAGCATTCAAGACAAGGAAAAGATGCAGTTTGATCTGTGGAGTTGTTTTCTACAGCAGAATTTATAGCAGGTGTTTTTCTCTGAAAAATGCTGAACACCAGACCAACCCAACATAAAGCAGAGATGTGAAGCATCACGGAAAGCTTTGAAATCAAGAGCAAGAAACCTCAAACAAATTTGTGGCTGAAAAACCACAAAAATGAGGAAATTCTGCTGGGGCTTTCCACCTCAGAGCATGTGCTGCTTCGGTAGCTGTGACAGCATGCAGCTCATAGGCAGAAATATTTAAATGATAAAGTATCAGAATGACTTTGAAATGTCTGGGAGGAAGAGGTTTGAAGCACTTGGGGTTTAGGATTCAAAGACAAGTACATGAGGTGAAATTACACAGATGAACTGGTGTCAGCAGACTTCAATATTTTCCTGTTTGGGAAAAAAATTGAAATTATTTTTATTTGCTGCCCTCTTGGCTGCAAAGTGACATTCAGTTTTCTTTTCTGTCCCTCTCATGCAGATACTTGTGGTCCTTACAATGCCCAGCATCTCCCCAGAAAAGGAAATCTCACATGGGGGCACTGAGAAACCTCCTCCAGGGTTGAGCTGGCAGAGGAATAGGAAAACCAATATTGCATCTTGTGCACTGTGAGCTTTTGGTCTGTTTTATACCAGATTCTTCCGTGCTGCTGTAACACATCCTCTCCCCATTTCTGTTTAAATTAATTTCCTGCTCAGAGCGGGTTGCTAGCTGCAAAACCCTTGCCACAAAACACTCATCTGCTAAACTTTAGGGTGGGCTGAATTGCTCCTTAACTCTTTCCTGGCAGGAGAAGGCAATTTTAGTGTTTTCAAACCCATTTCAGTGCTTTAAGCTCTTGTTTCCAGAGCTGAGCCCTTGATGTGGGTCGCAGCAACACTTGCCTCTGCTGTCCTCACCTTCTGCTCACCTGTCCCCTTTTGTTTCACATCACCCTGAGATTGGGCCCTCCCTAAAATGAAGTGAAACACTTCTTTTTATTGAGGTGGGGTGGCAGGGAGTGCTTGTTATGAGAAATGCCACTGCAAGGGAATTTTCCCTTCATCCCTGTGGCGAAGTCAGTGAGGTGAGCCCCAAATGCCCAGCTGCTGCAAAGGCTAAATCCCTCATTTCCACTGCTGCTGTCACCTGGAGCAACTTCTGGCTGCCTGGCCAGGACAAGAGTTTTTCCCAGAGGTGGCTTCTGCCATCATTACAACTTTGGATATGGGGGTGTTACACTGGGATGACTCCCCAGGACATTACAGCAACTTTTGAGAAAGCACTATATATGAAATGTAAAAGCATCTTGTACTGGAATATAGATTAAATATAAATTTTAAAAATTGCTGTTTATACTCAGTGAAGCTGTTTACCAGTGGCCAGGCTGTTCTCAGGACTGGCTGTTGCTCCTACAAGCAAACATCTTGGAGGAGGGAAATCTTTGTCTGGCAGCAAAGCTCTGACAAAAATCAAAGCACTGTGTGAACGTGCAGGAGGCAGCTGCTGTTTGTAACATCCCCACATTGTTTGGGGCTGCTGTCCTGGGAAGAAAAGGGGAGGAAAGAAGGGTGTAAGTTGATCTTATCTGTTCACACAAGCAAGATTTGCCAGTGACCTTGCTGAGGAATAGCAGCTCCTCTAATCACCAGTGTTTGGCTAACGGCTGGGCAGTGCTGGGGGGGAAATTGTTGAATTTTGGTGTATTTGTGCTATGTAGCTGCACAATTTCCAGGGGAATTTTGTCCTTTTTCTGAAATTAAAGACAACCATCTCTGTCCGCACCCCAGTTATGTCCCCTGTGAACTCATCCTAGTGGGAAACAGCCCCTCTTCTTTTTTCCAGTTTGTATCCTGTCCACCTCACCATGCTGAGATTAATTTCCGGTGCTTTCACCAGTTTTCTGCACTTTTTACTCTTTCTTTCCCCCCCTTTTATGAATTTCCTACAATAAAGTGTTTGTTTTGGGGGGCTAGAGCAAAGCATTGGTGTAGAAGAACAGGGTTTAGAGCCAAGAAGCAGGACCTGGCTGGGGTTTCATATCTGTTAAACTCCCATGCTGCAGAGGAGGTTAATTGCAGCTGAGCTGTAAATGCCTGGCTAGAGAAAACAGCTACCACAAAAATAGAGAAAAAAATCATTCTCTCAGTGCTTTTGAGGTTAGAAGGACTGATTTTGGGGGTCAGGGAAGGCTGCTCAACCCCCAGGCTAGTCCAACACAGTATGTAGAAATAGGGGCTGCTCTGGGGGTAAAGGGGTGCAGGATTGAAACTCCCTGGGGCTCCGGCAGCTGTGAACACTTTTTTTCCTTTTAAAATTTTTAAAAAATCGTTTTATTCTAGTGGAGAGTTTAGTTTCTGGAGTACTTAATTAGAGGTAAAAGCAGTAATGAAAATGATAGCATTTTCACTGAGTGAGATGATTGGTACCTTTTTCTGAGTGTAATAGCAGAAAAAAAATCACCCCAAAACCCCGAAACAAGTGGGCCAAATTTTCTAAACTTCTCCAAGCTAAGATGTGGTTTGTATGGTGAGGTTGGGGGGGGGTCCATCTGCTTTTGCAGGTGCAGATTTACTGCTGCAATTCAGCTGATGCAATATCACAGCTGAGGCTCCTGACATCTCATGGGGTAACCCCAAGGTCCATGTCAGTGTATGATGACCTGCGCTGTGGCACAGAAAAATGCTGCTTTTAAAGACCAGAGGCCAAAATGGATCTAAATGATGATTTGTGTGAATTTTCCTGTCATTTCATCCCTCACTGGCAAATAGATCTGTGCTTGAGGGTGGTTTGGCAGGACTGTGTTTGTTACAAGTGTCAGGTGTGAGCTTCATGTGTGATCTCCTCACTATGCCCAGGTGCCAATGGGGTGTGCAGTAAATGAGGGGGCCATGGGGGGATCTGGAAGGATGGACAGCCAGAGGACAGGCTCCAGCTCTCCCTCTTCAGGACATTTGGTGCAAGCAGGAGTTTAGTGTGAGCCACGATAATCCCGGACCTCCCCTAACAGATAAGGCAGTGCAGGTGCTGCCGTGTGATCTCAGCTTGCCTAATCAGTGTCGAAGAGGATAAGGAAAGACAAGGAAAGTGTCCTTGGGAAGGCAGCACACGGAGGAGGAAAAGCCACCAAGGAAGTAAACACAGGTGTCACCAGCCCCAAACAACGACCTGCCATGGCTATAAAAATCACCAGGCTGCCACCTCGTCACCACCTTCACCTTAAGGGTGCTGGATCTGCTGGACCTCTGCAGAGACCATCTCCAGACTCCTGGGACTGCCGGAACGCTCAGCCGAAGATTGGTGAGATCTCATTATTGGGCTCCTACTCCGTCTCTCCTTTGCTTCACCCGCTCCCACATCCCACATCCCACATCCCTTCCCCTTTCCCTCCCGGGAGCCGGCGGCTCGCGGCAGCTGCCGGCCCGGCCGCGGCCTCCTGTTCCTACCTTCCCCTTCCCTTGTGCCCAGGCTCGGTGTTCCCACCTTCCCTTTCCCTTGTGCCCAGGCTCGGTGTTCCCACCTTCCCCTTCCCTTGTGCCCAGGCTCGGTGTTCCCACCTTCCCCTTCCCTTGTGCCCAGGCTCAGTGTCTCCCCGGGGGCCTTTCTGGAGAGGTGGGTTGTGGGGTTGTGGGGTTGTGGCCTTGCTCTGTGGAGGGGCTGAAGGAGTTGTCAGTGCTGGTGTGTTATGGTAGTTTTGCCCTGAGTTGGAGCGGTCTCAGATCTTGTCCCCTTTGCTATGATGAGTGACATTGTTAGCAGTTGGAAGTTGGAGCAGTTTGTGCTCCAGAAGTGTCTCCCCCCAATTTGGTCACCAGGGTCTTTCCAGGGCCCAGATGCTTACCAGCAGCTGTGCCAGCAGTGGGAGAGCTGGTCGGAGGAGAACAAAAAGCCCAAACCCACTAACAAGTGTAAGAAGCGAGCGGCTTTGCAGGGTTTGCTGATGGTAGGCAGGGAGTTGTCCAAATTGCTGAAGGAGGCTCTTGAGAACGTGCAGACCTTGGAGAAGGACAAGGAGGAGCTCAAAGGCCAGGTGGACAACCTGCGGGCAGAGGTGCAGGGTCTGTGTGGGGACTCTCTGCGGAGCGCGGTGGAGATAACCCGGCTGGAAAACAAGCTGGGCTATGAGAAGCTGAAAACGGAGGAGCTGAAAAAGGAGGTTGGCAAGTGGATTGGGGAGACCCACGACGCGCAGAGCGCGGTGAGGGCGGTCCTGCAGGATGTCCAGCGGGACCGGGGCACTGGCCCTGATCACAAGGTGTGCCATGCCAAGATCCAGGAGCTGGAGGCAGAGCTGGGGGTGTCAAGGGGCATTGTGGCTGCCATTAAAGGCAAGAGGACTCAGGTTGGGACTGGTGATGGGGAGGACTCCCTGGACTTGCACCCACCCCACTATGATTATGAGGATGATGTGTGGGGTGCTAACAGCCCCACCAGGCCGTCCCCCTATGCTCCTCTGCGGGAGGAGGTGTGCCAGCTGCAAGTAGGGGAGGCAGAGGCTTCCAAAGATAAAAAGGTCCCCCACGATGAGCCAGTCAGCCATGTCCCACTCCAACCCATAGACACCAACAGGGCTGTCCTCTGGTTTACCCCTGAGCAGCTTAAGACAGTGGGGAAGATGCTGGGGCCGCTGAC